TCACCATGTTGACCAGGATGGTCTCCATCTCTTGACCTCGTGATCCACCCGCCTCGGCCTCCCAAAGTGCTGGGATTACAGGCGTGAGCCACCGTACCCGGCACAATGTTTTGTCTTATGGTGACATAAATGTAACTTTTGTATTTTATTTGTTTTCATTATCATTTGATAGCCTTGCTAAGTATTTATCTCCTGCTTCATTATAATAATTAGGTAGGTCTTCTGTGCTTTACTCCGGCTACTGTAATTATATTGCAAATGTTAATGTGATAACTTGTAGGCTGCTTCTTACTGCTTGAAGAGGAACTGATCATGTTGTTTGCTGGATGTCTGAAAGTACAGCTGAACTCTGTGTAGTTGTCAGTAACCTAAACTTAAAAGTATTTTCTTGTATTGGTTTTAAGTTTTCTGCATGCATGAAGCTAGTCATTTGGCTTTATGCCTTCAACTTTGTAAACATTTACATTTTAACCTTTTATTTTCTAGGCTTTGTACTAGCAACCTGCTTATTTTGCTAAACTAAACCTTAAAAATATATATTAAAGCTTTATGAAATATATAAAAATATGTTAAAGCTGACTGTCATGAAAAGGAATTTCTCCAACCTTTCTATTTTTTTAACCAGAATATATCAGCATATTTTATTTAATATAATATTTAATAATATAAATATTTAATATTTAATATATTAGCCATTAAATAAATTGTAGCGTGGGGCCAGAAAGTTGTAGAGATTATTTGGTTAATCTCTCTCGTAGCAGAGGAAGAATAACATTGAGTGACTGAACTGGCCAATATCACAAACCAAAATTAAAGTTAGCAACTCCCTTATAACTAGGTTTTCTTGGATGGAAACATAGTTTTTGATTAAGTTTTTTGAACAAGTAATGAATTTACATATTTCAAATATCAAAAGTATTTTTTTATTTTTTTATTTTTTTGAGACGGAGTTTCACTCTTGCTACCCAGGCTGGAGTGCAGTGGCGTGATCTCGGCTCACCGCAACCTCCGCCTCCTGGGTTCAGGCAATTCTCCTGCCTCAGCCTCCTGAGTAGCTGGGATTACAGGCACGCGCCACCATGCCCAGCTAATGCTTTTTGTATTTTTAGTAGAGACGGGGTTTCACCATGTTGACCAGGATGGTCTCGATCTCTTGACCTCATGATCCACCCGCCTCGGCCTCCCAAAGTGCTGGGATTACAGGCTTGAGCCACCGCGCCCTGCCCAAAAGTATTTTTTTAATTCAATAAAAAAATATTTCTCATTTCTGACCTCATCTGCTCGGTTCTTACCCCCTTACCAGCTAATCAGATGTTAGTTTCTTGTTTATCTTTCTGGATAGTTTTTATGCTAATACAGATATGTGTCCTTCTCCTGCTCCTTTTTTAGACAGTGATTATATTCTGTGAACATTTTTCTGCACCTTGGTTCCCTTTTTTTCTTAATATATTTTGCAAATCTTTTCATAAAGATCTTTCTTTTATACACACAAACACATACTGTTTCACTCTGACTCTCTTACTTTTAAAAATAATTGGATATTGTTACTTAGCCGGAATTATGAAAGGAAGCAAGCATAACTTGTGCTTTTGAAAAGTAATCTCATAGAGTATTAAGGAGTCATGTCATTGCTGATTTGGCTCAATAATTTTGGCCCCTTCTGGTGATATGTTAACAAAAACAGTGATACTTTACATATTCTTTTACATGTTATATGTGAGAAACATGTCAGAAAGGATGTTAGGAAATATTTGGGACAGTTAAAAATCCATTGATTTCTTTCTGATTATTTGGTAATTTGGGTCAGGGACTAGCTTGAAAGTTGCCTTTGCTTAGCAAGCTTTTCTTAGTAAAAATAGATTACATAAACAAATTTTTAAAGGAATGCTTCAAATATTTGAAAGAACTAAACAGTATCAAGAATCCAAACACTGCTTTTCAAACTAGGTTTTGTAAGCATATTCATGGAGTTAAAGAGGATCACATACAGTTTTGGGTTTTTATTTAAATAATTAAAATCAGTTTAAGCATCTGCTGGAGACCATTTGCATTATTATAACAAAATACTATTAATAAAATGGCTTATATTTACATTGAGTATTGTGTTGTCACTAAGTATGATTACCTAAATTGATAGTTTTACCTTTCAAACTAGTGCTTTTCAAATTAGGATCTACAACATTTACTCAGGGGTCTTTGAGAAATTTTTTTTTTTTTTTTCCTTTAAAAGATGTCTCAAGTTTGAGAAACTATTTTAGAGGAATTTTGTATGTAGTAACAATGTATTTAAGAGCAACCAACTTCATCTGTTTATTAATAGGCTTTTAATACTCCCCTTTAAGCTTGTTTAAAGTGAGTGAGCTTCTGTTAGTTTTCTGATCATGTAGAATGAATTTGTTGGAATTATATTTTCATAATGACTTTCCACTAATTTCAACTGAGTTCTCTCCAAGTTAACCTGAATTAGTGGGTTTCTGATTTGTTTCTTACGTAGTAAATATAATTAATTCTTAAATTTTTAAATTTTTTTCAATTTAGGAATTGATTCTGAAGGCCATGCAGCTAACTTTGTAGAAACAGAACAAATTGTGCACTACAATGGGAGCAAAGCTTCATTTGTACAGGCAAGTTGTTATGTCCGTTAAGCAGTCAGCGAGTTGGCCTTTTCTGCATGGCTTGTAATTTTCTGTCATGTTGAAATTTCCCTGTTTTCCCTTCCCCTCTGTTCTTATGTAATATTTTTATCTACAGTGTGGAAAAAGTTCACCCCAAAAAAGGAAAATCCATTAATCTGGCACTAACCTGCTGCCATTTCCTGTCCTTATATTAAATCCCTAGAGGAGAGGGTAGGGTAGGAGTTGCAAAGAGAGTTATGGAAATGGAGCCATCTGTCTGTTGAACGCTTTACACATATTCAAGGTAGTGATGATGGGACAAGCTGATGGCTTATGATTGACTTTACCTGCCACTGTGAGATGTCTCTTCTGTTGCCTTTGGAGTTGTGGACCGCTTGCTGCTCCAGAGCGTTAGTGGCCAGATATATTCATATGTTCATAAACATATGCATTTGAAAATGAATAAAGCAATTTTTTCATAATACCAAATTAACAGAGGTAATCTGTTAAGTTTTAGTCATAGATAAATTTAGAATTTCAAGGAAATAAATAATTTATTTATATAAAACCATGTATATAAAACTAGAAGGAGAAAAAGCTCTAAGTGTTTTCTCATAAAGTAAGAACTTTAGGAGCAGATGCCCGTGGACTTTTTTTTTAACGTGGACTTTTAAAATAGTTGGCAGGTTGTATTACTTTTTTTCCTTATATAGCCATTAATATGTATACCCCTGACAGTAAGTAAGGTGATAAAAACAAGTATGTTTGTGTTTCTTTTCACATTTCTGTCTTTTCTTTTAGACTCGAGGATCAATACCTGTTTTCTGGTCCCAAAGACCAAACCTCAAGTACAAACCACGGCCACAGATCAGCAAAGTAGCAAATCATGTGTGTATCTTGCATGCCTTTTTTGTTGGCTAAAAGTAGAAGCTTAATAGCATTATAATTTGCATATAAAGAATGTATTTATTCCCCGTAAGTCAGCCTTCAACGTCTTTGAGGCCCTTCTTTTTGATTCTGGCACATAGTAAACCCCTAAACCAAAAGGTGTGTAGGTGGCATGTTAGAAATGTAGAAAAACAAATTATGATTGAGTGGCATGGCAAATAAGGATTTGAGAGATCTCAGTAAGATTTGTAGCTTTATGCTTTTCAGAGTACTTAATATATTCCACTGAGATTGTATTCAGAATTAAAGTGTTAGTGTTGCAACTCAGAGTAAAATAGCTTATGATTACTAGATGGCGTTTAGAATATCTAGAAGCCATAGTCCACATCCTGACATCATTCTTTTGAATATAAAAATAAGACATTTAAGGAGGTCCTTTTAAAATATTATAAATATTTAAATTATGTTTATAAATAACATAATGTACTCCAGTAAAATATGTAACTTTTTTCCTTCTAGATGGATGGTTTCCAAAGGCATTTTGATTCCCAAGTAATTATTTATGGAAAACAAGTCATAATCAATCTGGTATGTTTCTTAAGGGAGAAAAACAAAAAAAACTTTTTCTTGACAGAAAATTTACTATTTTAACCATTTTTAAGTGTGCAGTTCAGTGGCATTAAGTAGTTCATAATGTGACGCCATCATCACTGCCCGTTTCTACAGCTTTTCATCATACCAGGAAAATTCTACCCAGTTAACTTCCTATTACCTCCTTTCCCACAGCCCCTGGTAATTCTGTTTTACATCTATCTCTCTGAATTTGTCTATTCTAAGTACCCCATGTAAGTGGAATAATACATTATTTGTCTTTTTTTAATGTTTTTAAGGTTCATCCATCTTGTAGCATGTATAGAATTTCATTCCTTTTTTTTTTTTTTTTTTTTTTTTTTTTTTTTTTTTTTTTTTTTTTTTTTTTTTTTTTTTTTTTTNTTGAGACGGAGTTTCACTCTTGTTGCCCAGGCTGGAGTGTGCAGCAGCACGATTTCTGCTCAGCGCTACCTCCACCTCCCGGGTTTGAGTGATTCTCTTGCCTCAGCCTCCCGAGTAGCTGGGACTACAGGCATGTACCACTATGCCTGGCTAATTTTGTATTTTTAGTAGAGATGGGGTTTCTCCATGTTGGTCAGACTAGTCTCGAACTTCCAACCTCAGATGATCTGCCTGCCTTGGCCTCCCAGAGTGCTGGGATTACAGGCGTGAGCCGCTGCGCCCAGCCCCATTCTTTTTTTTAAGACTGAATAATATTCCATTGTGTATGTATATGCACACACATACATACACACCGTGTTTTGTTTATCCATTCATCTATTGATGGACATTTGGCTTGTTTTCATTTTTTGACTGTTACAAATAATTTTTCTATGAACATTGATGGTGTGCAAGTATTTGTTTGACTGAGTCCCTGTTTTCAGTTCTTTTAGGCTTAATACCTAGAAGTAGAATTGCTGGATCATATGGTGATTCTATGTTTTACTCTTTGAGGAACCACCATACTGTTTACCTTAGCGGCTGCACCATTTTGTATTCCCACCAGCAATACACCAGAGTTCCAGTTTCTTCATATCCTTGTTGACAGTTGTTTTCTGTTTTGTGTATGTGTGTGTGTTTTTAATTACAGCCACCCTGATGGGTGTGGAGTGGTATCTCCTGGTGTTGATTTACATTTCTCATAATTTGTATGATTTTGAGCTTCTCTTGGTATGTGCTCATTGGCCATTTGTGTATCTTTAGAGAAATGTCTACATAAGCCCTTTGCCCATCTTTTAATCAGGCTGTTTGTTGTTTGAGTTGTAGTCATTAATATGAAATCTGGATATTAATCTCTTAGCAGATAGGTGCTTTACAAATATTTTCTCCCACTCTTTGGGTTGACTTTTTACTTTCTTGACAATGTCCTTGGTATACAAAATGTTTAAGTCCAGCTTATCTAGTTTTTCTTTTGTTGCCCCTGCTCTTGGTGTCATTTTCAAGAAATTGTCACCAAGTCCAATAACATAAAGTGACTCCTATATATTCTTTCTGAGAGTCTTCATAGTTTTAGATTTTACAGTTTGGTTTTTTGTATGTTTCAAGTTAATTTTTGTTTTGTGTATGTATTACTTCTTAACAATGCACGAGTTAATTTTTGTATGTGATATAGGTAAGGGTCCAACTTCATTGTTTTGCATGTGGATTTCCAGTTTTCCCAGCACCATTTGTAAAAAAAAGACTGTTCTTTTCCTATTGAATAGCCTGGCACCCTTATAAAGAATCAATTGAATGTATATGCAAGGTCTTATTTTGAGGCTCTGTTCTATTCCATCGCTCTCTGTGCCTGTCCTTATGACAGAATGACACTATTTTGGTTACTACAGCTTTGTGTAATAAGTTTTAAAATCAGGAAGTGTGAGAATTCCAACTTCCTTCTCCTTTTTCAAGATTGTTTTGGCTACTTGAGATCCCTTGAGATTGCCTATGAATTTTAGGCATGGTTTTTCTATTTCTGAAAAAAATGCCTTTGGGATTTTAATAGCAATTGCATTGAATCTGCAGATTGATTGCTCTGAGTAGTACTGTCATCTTAATAATACTGTTTGTCAGTCCATCAGTCTATCAACACAGATGTCTTTTCATTTATTTATGTTTTCAAAAATTTCTTTTGGCGTTATTTTGTAGTTTCCAGTGTACATGCATTTCACTTCACTGTTTAAATTTATATTTGAGTATTTTCTATATGCCTCAGTGGTGGTTTTTTGTTTTTTTTGCTATTGTAAATGAAATTGTTTTTGTACTTTTCCTTTTGGATATTTCATTTTTAGTATATAGAAATGCAACTGATTATTGTGTCTTGATTTTTGTATGCTGCAACTTTATTGAATTTATTATCTCCAACAGCTATTTTGCAGAATTTTTAGGATTTTCTATATATAAGATCGTGTGACCTGTGAACAGAGATAAGTTTACACTTCCTTTCCGATTTGGATGCCTTTTATTTAGTTTTTCTTGCCTAATTGCTGTTGCTAGAACTACTAATACTGTGTCGAACAGAAATTGTGAAAGCAAGCATCCTTGTTTTATTCCTTTTCTTAGGAGAAAAGCTTTTAGTCTTTCATCATTAAATGTGATATTAGTGGGTTTGTCACATAATGGCCTTTATGTTGAGGAACTTCTCTTCTTTGTCTAAGTTATTCAGTTGAGTGTTTTTATCAAGAAAGGGAGTTGCATTTTGTCAAATACTTTTCTGTATCAATTGAGGTGCTAGTTTTTTGTTTTTTTTTTTTTTCCTTCATTCTACTAATGTGGTGTATTACACTGATTGATTGTTGTATATTGAACCAGCTTTACATTGTGGGAATAAATCTTTTTTGGTAGTGATATATATATATATATTTTTTTTTTTTTGAGACAGTCTTGCTTTGTTGCCAGGCACCAGGCTGGAGTGCAGTGGTGTAATCTCGGCTCACTGCAGCCTCCACCTCCCAGGTTCAAGCAATTCTCCTCCCTGAGCCTCCCGAGTAGCTGGGACTACAGGTGCACTCCACCACACCCAGCTAATTTTTGTATTTATAGTAGAGACGGGATTTGCTAGTGTTTGGTTGGGGATCTTTATATAATATTCATAAAGGATATTGGCCTGTAGTTTTCTTGTAATATCTTTGTTTGATTTTGAGGTCAGGATAATCTTATCTTTATAGAATAAGTTAGAAAGTGTTCTCTCTTCTTCAGCTTTTTGCAAGACTGGTATTAATTCTTCTTTAAATTTTGATAGAATGCACTAGTGAGTTCACTAGTAAAGCCATCTACTACAGACTTTGTTAGGAGACTTTTTTTTTTTTCTGTTTGTTTGTTTTCATTACTGATTGGATCTCCTTACTATTTATTGATCTATTTAGACTTTCTATTTTTTCATGATTCAGTTTTGGCAGATTATGTGTCTCTAGGAATTTGCCAGTCTGTCTTATCCAACTTGTTGGCATATGGTTGCTCATAGTATTCTCTTAAATCCTTTCTATTTCTCAGAAATTTATAGTAATATCCATACTGTCATTTCTGATTTTAGTAATTTGAGTCTTTTATTTTGTTTTGGTCATTCTAGCTAAAAGTTTGTTAATTTTGTTGATCTTTTCGAAGTCCAACTTTTAGTTTTATAGACTTTGTTTTTATATTTTTTCTATTTTATTTATCTCTACTCTAATTTTTCTTATTTCCTCTGGTAGCTTTGGGTTTAGTGTGCTCTTCTTTTTCTTGTTTCTTAAAGTGTAAAATTAGATTATTGCTTTGTGGTTTTCTTTTTTAATGTGTGTATTTACAGCGGCAGCATTTCCTCAGCACTGCTTTTTTGCATTATTTCATATGTTTGGTATATTGTGTTACTGTTTTCATTTGTCTCAGGTATTTTCTGATTTCTCTTTTTGGGATTTCTTCTTTGAACCAGTGGTTTAGTATTTTTTTTTCCCACATATTTGTGAAATTTCTAGTTTTCCTTCTGTTCTTGATTTTTAGCTTCCTTCTATTGTGATCAGAATATATATTTAATGTGATTTGAGTTTTTAAAAATGTGTTAAAACTTCTTTTGTGGCCTGGAATATAGTTTGTCTTAGAAAATATTTCATGTGTACTTATAAAAAATGTGTATTCTGCTGTTGTTGGGTAGAGTAATGTGCATATGTCTGTTAGGTCCGATTGGCTTATGTTGGTGTTTAAATTCTCTATCTTCTTATTTGTCTCTGTCTGATTTTTCTGTGTTATTGAAAGTGAGCTATTGAAGTTTTCTACTATTACATACTTTTCTCTTTCTCCCTTCAGTTCTGTCTGTGTGCTTTATTATATTTTCAGGTTGTCATGGTTTGTTGCATATATGTTTATAATTGTATCTTGGAATATTGACCATTTTATCAATAAATAATGCTCTTTGTTTCTTGTAACATTGTTTCACTTAGAGTGTATTTTGTCTGATACTAATACAGTTATTCCAGCTTTTTTGATTACTGTTTGCACAAAATATATTTTTTCATCCTTTTTCTTTCAACCTATATGTGTCTTTAGATGTAAAATGAATCTCTTAAAGACAGCATGTAGTTAGATCATTTTTTTTTCCATTTTGCCAGTCTATTTATTTTTATTAGAGAATTAATCCATTTACATTTAAAGTAATTACTGATAAGAATTTATTTCTGCTATTTGTTTTCTGCGTGTCTTATAGATTTTTGTTCCTTATTTCCTCCATTACTGTCTCTTACTGTGCTTAGTTGATTTTTTTTTTTTTTTTTTTTTTTTTTTTTTTTTTTTTTTTTTTTTTTTTTTTTTTTTTTTTTTTTTTGGTAATGATGCATTTTGATTACCTTTTCATTGTCTTTTCTTTTGTTTCTGAGATGGAGTCTCACTTTGTCACCCAGGCTGGAGTGTAGTGGTGCAATCTTGGCTCACTGCAACCTCCACCTCACAGGTTCGAGCGATTCTCCTGCCTCAGCCTCCTGAGTAGCTGGCATTACAGGCACCGCCACCACACCCAGCTACTTTTTTGTATTTTTAGTAGAGATAGGGTTTCACCGTGTTAGCCAGGATGGTCTTGATCTCCTGACTCATGATCCACCTGCCTTGGCCTCCAAAAGTTCTGGGATTACAGGTGTGAGCCACTGCGCCCAGCCACCTTCTCATTTTCGTTTATTTTTATTCTATAGCTGTTTTCTTTGTGGTTACCATGAGGATTACATATAACATCCTAATGTTATAAGTATCTAATTTGAATTGATACCAGAGGCATACAAAAACTCTACTCCTATAAAGCCTCGTGCTTCCTTCTTATATTATTGACATTACAAATTGCATCTTTCCAGTAACATCAATATATAATTATTTTTATGCAGTTGGCTTTTATTTATGTATGTATGTATGTATTTATTTTTTAGAGAAAAGGTCTTGTTCTGTTGCCCAGCCTTGCATGCAGTGGCACAATCACAGCTCAGTGTAATCTTGAACTCTTGGGCTAAAGGAATACCCCCCCCTCAGCTTCCGGGCAGCTAGGACTACAGGCACATGCCATCATGCTCTGCTAATTTTTTTGTGTTTTTTATAAAGATGGGGTCTCACTCACTGTGTTGCCCAGGCTGGTCTTGAAATCCTGGCCTCAAGCCATCCTCTTGCCTCAGCCTACCAAAGTGCTCAGATTACAGATGTGAGCCACCATTCCTGACCACATTTGACTTAAACCTGTAGAAATAAAAAGTGGGGTTACAGATTAAGATTAAGATTTCAATAATACTGGCTTTTATATTTGCCCTTGTCTTTACCTTTATTGGAATTTTTTTGTTTGTTTTTGAGACAGAGTCTCTTTCTGTCACCCAGGCTGGAGTACAGTGGCGTGATCTGGGCTCACTGCAACTTTTGCCTCCTGAGCTCAAGTGATTCTCCTGTTTCAGCCTCCTGAGTAGCTGGGATTACAAGTGTGTGCCACCCAGCTAATTTTTGTATTTTTAGTAGAGACAGGGTTTTGCCATGTTGGCTAGGCTGGTCTCAAACTCCTGACCTCAGGTGATCCACCTGCCTCGGCCTCTAGAAGTTCTGGGATTACAAGTGTGAGCCACCATGCCCGGCCTATTGGAAATTTTTTTATCCCTGTATGGCTTCAAATTACTGTGTAGCATCCTTTCATTTCAACCTGCAGGACCTCCCTTTAGCGTTTCTTATAGTTCAGGTTTAATGATAATGAACTACCTCAGGGTTTGTTTCTCTAGGAATGTCTTAATTTTTCCTTCATTTTTAAAGGATGTTTTGCCAGCTATAAAATTCTTGGCTGACAGTTTTTCTTCTTCCAGCATTTAAAATATATGATCCCACTGTCTTCCAGCCTCCAAGATTTCTGATAAGAAACTGGCGGATAATCCCATTGAGAATCTCTTGTGTGTGATGAGTCTCCTCTCTCTTGCTGCTTTTCAAGATTCTGTTTTTGTCTTTCAACTATGTGATGATTATAATGTTTTTGGTGTGGGTCTCCCTAGAGTTCAGAGTACTTGTTGGATTTGCAGATTGATATGTTTCATCACATTTGGGAAGGTTTTGGCTATTTTTTGTTTTCTTCAGATAATCTCTCTGCTTCTTTATTCCTGGAATTCCCATAGTATAAAATGTTTTATTTCAGTTTTTATACTCTTTAGCTCCAGAATTGTTTTTTGGCTTCTTATTTTAATTTTTTTCATTGATATCCTCATTTTGTTTATGTATTGTTTTTCTGATTTCTTTTATTTCTTTGTCTGCATTTTCCCTTAGCTCTTTGAGTATATTTAAGACAGTTGCTTTTAAAGTCTTTGTCAATAAGTCTAATGTCTTGGCTTCCACAGGAATAATTTCTGTCAATTTCTTATGTTCCATTGAATGAGCCATGTTTTTCTGTTTCTTTGTGTACCTGTGTGTTTTTTTTTTTTAAATTGTATGTTTGTTTATTATAATATCATAACTCTGAAAGTCAGAGTCTCCTTTTCCCCTAGGGTTTGATGGGTTTTTTAATTTTGTTTGATTGTTAAAGACTATACTAATTTTGGCAAAAGCTCTGTGCTGGGGCAGTCCTTTACGGATTAGCCAGGCTGTGAGTCTAGGCATCAGTCTGAGGTAAAGGTTTAAGGTCTTCTCAGGACTCTTCTGAGCCAGCATCCTACCTGGCTATATGGGTGGCCTTCAAAACTCCTTCATATATGTGGCTGTTTTTGAATGTCCTAATTTCCCAAAGAATATCACGATCTTCTTCTCCAGTCTTTAGGTGGTCTGTTGTATGTCTCCATCGATAATTTTTTGCCCCAGGCATCTACTGGTTTATGATCCTCTTGCAGCTTTTACAAGCACTGGTCACCATTTTTACTGCCTGTGTTCAGAGTTACATGGGACAGACACAAGTGATTTAGTCCTTTAACAGATGTACACAATTATTTGCAGATAAGATCTGGTCTGTCTCTTCTAGTTTAATGAGGGGAACTGAGAACCATGTTATTCCCATGTAAGACAGGTTGTCATCACTCTGTGGAGGGGCTGGGCCAAGGACAAGGTAAATGCCACAAAACTTTCCCACCATTTGAAAGTGACTTTTTCTTTATTGGGTGCTTGAGTGGGTTACAAAACCTTTGATTGTTTTTCAGAGCTGCTACAAAGTTGACTCAGCTAGCTTCTGGGTGTTTTTGGATGTTTATGTGGGAGCATGAGAGCATAGAGTTTCCTAGTTTGCCTTTTTCTGATGTTATTCTCTCCTTTGAAATAAACTGAAAACTATGGTGTTTGAAATTTTTTACAGATTAACCAGAAGGGCTCAGAGAAGCCACTTGAACAGACATTTGCAACAATGGTGTCTTCTTTGGGAAGTGGAATGATGAGGTACCTCACTAGAAGTCTGTTACAGGTCTTTTCAGATCAGATGTGTGCTTAAATATGTACATGATTACATAGAGCTCACTAGACATATATTTCAGCTTGTACTTTTTTCAGTAGTTGATCAAAGCAAGATATTTTGTTGGCTTGAAATTTTTCTAGCATAATGTACATTGTAGAATAACTTCTTTTCAGTCAAATTTTAATTTTAGTGTCTGATTAAAATTTCCTCATTGAGGCTTTGTGCCCCAGAGAGTTTCCATACATAATGCTTTGCCACTGGAAGTGTCTTGAGGAATGTGGACTAGGCCTGTTTGCACTGCATACCTGGTTGCTGTACTTGAGCTTACTTCACTAGCATTTGTTGTGCTTCTCCTCTGCTCCTTGCTGAGGGCCCCAGAAGAATATGTGAGGATAGATACATGCATGTATTTCCATGTATACATATATATGTATCTCCATACATATCATATATATATTTTTTTCCCCTGATAGGTATGAGCATAAAAAGGTGTGTGCGTGTGTGCGCGTGCATGTACATGTGTGTAGTATATGTATAGTGATAAACCCAGAGTGAAGGAAGCTCCAGTGTTCCCAAGAAATATATATGCACTGATATAAACGGGAAAATCAGCTTTTGAAGGTATTGTTAATAGAAGGAAAATGAATTATCTCTGGTCAATTTCTGAGTATCTTTTCTTTTGGTAGATACATTGCCTTTGACTTCCATAAGGAATGTAAAAATATGAGATGGGATCGACTAAGTATTTTATTGGATCAGGTAGCAGAAATGCAAGATGAATTAAGGTAAGCTATGTTATTTCCTTATGGAGGTAGAGAGAAGAGGTATATATATATCAGTCATATTTATTATGCATAGTAGTTCACTGGATTGTCAGTGCTTGTCTGTACTATTTTATTATTTTTAATTTCTTTACTGAAAAGATGAGACTTAGTGACTTTAAAATATTCTTAAATTCTTAAAAATGACCTAAGGCCAGGTATTTTCATATTTTTATAAAATATCTACCACACATTTACAATTTTTTGTGTAATCGAACTTGGTTTACTACGTTTTATATTGTTTCCGCTAGACAGTCTGTCACAAGTACTTTGTTGCTAACCTGTGCAGTGTTTGTAATGATGATGTTTAATGGCTTTTCTGTATTCTGTTTTGTCATAACATAGTTCTAAGGAAGTGCTTTTCTTCACACCGAGCATCTGGATTATTTCATTTCCTCTTTCTATCATGAAAGATTGTGGTGCCACAAGTCACTATATATGTTTTACGTCTGTTAAACTGATTTCTTTAAAAAAATTTTTCAGAGTAGTATTAATGGATCAAAAGGTCTGAATGTCTTTGCAGTACTGTATTATTTATCATATTGGTTCAGGTTTACTATACTCGATGCATGTCAGTCTTGACCGATTTTAAAGCCAGAAGAAGGAATCTGCAAACCATACTATCATTTTCTTTTGCCTGTGTGTGATAGTTCTAAACCCAGCAATCCAAATGCACTTTTAAATTTTAGTTACACAGTAATACAGTAAAACCTCTTTGATAGACATTTGCTCAGTTTTCAAAAATATCTTTTTATATACATTAAGTAATCAACTACAGTTATTTAAATCTGCTTTTTTTCCTGTGAGGTTTTGTCATGAACACAGAAGGGAAATTGACCTACTGTTGTTGGGCAATTAGAGAAAGCATTAGCTGGGCCTGGCATGTTGTTGGAGGAGGTAGTTCCTTGGGTTCGCCCATTAACTGCGGTCGTACAAGAGTGTAAGAAAGAAGGAGGGTTGACTCTGGAGTGTGTTCGTTGCTGTTCACTCTGAATCACAGGGAGAGCAGAGCTTTCACTGGTGACTTTCAGATAATCTCTCAAGATTTTTCTCTAGGGATTTTTGGGATAGTGGAAAGAATCTGGGCTTTGGGGGTCCAATACACCTTGGTTTGAATTTAAGTTTTTCTCTTAGTAGTCATATGACCCAGGGCCACTTAGTTATCTTCAGACTTTGGTTTCTTCATTTGCAAAGTGGAATTGATAACTTACTGTATAGTTTAAGCAATAATATTTATAACATATCTAGGATTTTATAAATATTTATGGGATACCAACACACATATGCACCCTTGCATGCACATGTATGTACACCAGCGGACCTCACCATTCTGCATGATCCATATGTAGATTTTTCATCCTAACACATTCTTCCAGGCTCTTACTCCTAACGTCATGACTGGTATTTAGCCCTTGATGAATCTGTTGCATTTTCTTCCTTCTTTTGGATTTTGGAGAATAATTTCAGTAGTTAATACTATCCAGTATTCATTGTATGCTGTATTCCGTACACTGTGCTAAGTACTTCATGTGCATTATGTGTTACCTCATTCAAACCTTAGAGAAGCCTAATGGTGGTGCTGCTGTTGCCTCTCTTTTGTGGATGAAAAACTTACTATTTAAAGTTCTACAGTTAGTAAGCTGCCTGTGATGCTAAGGCTAGCAAACAGATTGTTTGCTTCCTGAATCCATATTCTTAATCACCATGCTATGTTAGATTTTTGAGTTCCTAGAATTATCAAGAAGCTTGTTAAAGAAAACATGGGAACTGGTAACTGTGGTTGGTTACAGTACAGACAGCTGGGTGTTTAAGCGGAGAAAGGGAAACTGATTTTTCAAATAATACCCAATTGTCTTTTATAAATTTGTACTGTTTGCATGTATTACCCATTTAATCATTTTCTTTTTTTTTTGGGCCAGGGACAGTGGCTCATGCCTGTAATCTCAGCACTTTGGGAGGTCGAGGCAGACAGATCACCTGAGGTCAGGAGTTCAAGACTAGCCTGGCCAACATGGCGAAACCCCATCTGTACTAAAAATACAAAAATTAGCCGGGCATTGTGGCATGTGCCTGTAATCCCAGCTACTGAGGAGACTGAGGCAGGAATCACTTGAACCTGGGAGGCAGAGGTTGCAGTGAGCTGAGATTGCACCGCTGTACTCCAACCTGGGCAACGGAGGAAGAGTCTATCTCAAAAAATAAAAAAAATAAAAAATTTTTTTTAAGTATTTAATTTTTTTTTTTTTTTTTTTTTTTTTTTTTTTTTTTTTTTTTTTTTTTTTTTTTTTTTTTTTTTTTTTTTTTTTTAAAAGATACACCCAGGCTGGAGTGCAGTGGTGTGACCATAGTTCACTGCAGCCTTTAACCCTTCAGCTCAAGTGATCCTCCCACTTTAGCCTTCTGACTATAGGTATGCATCACCATGCCTGGCCAAGTTTTTGTTGTTTTGGAGGCAGGGGCTTGTTATGTTGCCCAGGCTGATCTCGAACTCCTGAGCCCAAATAATCCTTCCACCTCAGCTTCCCAAGTAGTTGGGATTACAGGCATGAGCCACCATGCCCAGCTAAAAGTATTTTTATTGTAAAATATTCAGTCCTTGCCTAGGAGATCCTGATTCAGTTGATCTCAAGGTCAGGAATTTTTTTTTCACAAGCAACTCAGAGGATTCTAAAAATAGTACAGGAATCATAATACCCTGATATGTAGGGATACAGTTGCAATAATTACGTTAGAGGAAACCATTATCTGGCTTTGGGAAACGTGATTGATTTGTACAGCAACCTTTTTAATACTCCTGACTCTACTTTTTCACATCTTTGGGATGAGATGATCTCTAATCTTCAGCCGTTTTTTGGATGGGGGTGCTGTCTTGTCTCAGCTATCTAGACTTCTTTTTGGTCTAGGATAATCACATGCCTGTCTACACATTCCTATTTGACCTTTTAATTTACAGTTTTTAATAATGTCACTGAAATGAGGCATGTTATAAAATTATGTCCTTAGTAGATCCGACCTACTTTGGTATGAGAGTGTTTATACAAATATGTTTTAGTTATTTTCTAGTGGACTCTGCTGGCCAGGTGGTGACAAACCAGGAAGGCGTGTTCCGAAGCAATTGCATGGATTGTCTAGATAGAACCAATGTGATCCAGAGTTTGTTAGCTCGTCGTTCACTTCAGGCCCAACTTCAGGTGCGAATTTTTTTTTTTTTTTTTAAATAAATCGAAAAACAATATAGCAAAAAATTAAACGTCTTCTTTAAAAACCAGTAACAAAAAATATTCACATTGCCCCCACCCTAATCCAGCTGTTTTTATTTTTGTGTCTTGCCCATGGATGTCACATTTTCCATAACTATGGTCAGCCTATGTATGCAGTTTTCACTTTTGTCATTTTCCCTTAGCATTTATGTAATCACAGTTTCTGATGGTTATATTGTTGTGCTGTAATTTACTAAGCCATTCAGATTGCTACATTTTTGGTTTATAAATAACACTGTAGAGAATGCATCTACATATGTTATTATTAACTTGAATTATTTCCTTCATGTTAATTCCTAGAAGTGGAATTACTGGGTTAAAGAGAGTAAATATGTTATTTTCCAAGAGGGTCATACCAATTTATACTGACACCAGCAATGAATAAGTAAATCCATTTTATTGAACTGTTTCCAGCATTAGATCTTCTAATTTTAATTTTTTTTTCTTGAGATGGGTTCTGGTTCTGTTGCTCAGGCTGGAGTGTATTGGTGGGATCTCAGGTTGGCAACCTCCACCTCCTGGGCTCAAGCCATCCTGCCAGCTCAGCCTCCTGTGAAGCTGGGGCTACAGGCATGTGCCACATGCATGGCTAATTTTTATATTTTTTTGTAGAGAGAGGATTTCACCATGTTGCCCAGGTTGGTCTCAAACCCCTGGGCTCCAGCAATCTGCCTGCCTCAGCTCCCGAAGTGCTGGGATTACAAGATTGAGCCACCATGTTCAGCCTCTTTTTTTTCTGTTTCATTAGTACAAAAGTAGCATCTCAAGATTGTTTTCATTTATCTCTCTCTTATTACTAGCAAAGGATATTAACTCCAAAGTGACACAGCTTTGCTTTACCACTTATGCTGATGAGAAAAATGGCTTTTTTCTTCTGTGTATATTTGGAATGAAAAAAGATACAGAGCCTCAGTTTCTAAATCACATTGGCATTTGTTGTGAGGGGCAGACAAATGCATACACACCATGTGATTTCCTATTCAGGTAATTAGTAAGCATTCAGCTTTATTTCTGACAAATTTATGATACTGAGAAAGAAATTTTCGAGGTAAAATACCATCTTCAGAATGAATTGTTCTTGAATCTCAAAGTCGTACTTGCCGAAGGAGTGCTGTCCCTGTTTGAGTAGTCTCTGGTTTGTAATTGTGCTATGTCTTTGTCTGTTAGAAGGTCTTCTGAGTGTATTTTTTTAGTAGAAACAATAGTAGGAATGGTTTGATTCAATGACTGATTAACCAAAACTTACTTGACTAGGTTCCGCAATCCATATTTTACAATTTTACATGCCATATGTAGTATTACGAAACCTAACCAACCTTCAGAGAATCCCTGGGCAGAAGCCTCTCCAGCAGCTTTGCTACTAGTATAGGAGCTTTCTACTTGTGCTTCTCCAAGCCTGCTAGTGAAGGCAGAGTCCTTACCCAGCTAAAGGTCACCAAGGTGACTGCTGTGCTGTGTCTGAGGGTGGGAATGAGTCCTTCTGAGGTGGAGATGAGGTATCTTCTGAGGTGAGCAATAAAGATGGTGGTTCTGAGAGGTGATGGTCTGAGACAAGGCAGGGACTCTCCACCTGTGGTTGGTGGTCTCCAAAGGGGAGTCCATAGAGGAGATTCGGGGGCCCAGCAACCCTGTAATATTCTATGTGAAGGTCTGTGTGTGTACTTTTGTGGAGGTGGATTAGGTGGCATTCATCAGATTCTCAAAAGGCTCCTGGGACAGAGGGTAAGGTTGGGGTGACTCGGCGGGGAAGAAGTTGGGGGATGATGCATATGAGGGGGTCTCAAGGGGTGTTGGCAGTGGAAGGTTGGGGGTGGGAGGGAGAGAGGAACAGCTGGAATCCTGCAGCAGCTTTCACTCTCCTTCCTGACCTTCTCTCTCAGTATAGTCCTGCTTCTGTCCCTCGGGGAGTGCAGGGGCTGCAAGGCAAAGGCGCCCTTGGGAGGGGCTTTGCAGTCTGCCCTGGGCAGGAGAGGGCTGCAGTGAGCTGGGGCTTCCTGTGCCTGCATCTAGTAACCAGGAACCATGAGCTGCAATTTGGGGACTGCTTTTTCTTCCTAAATCATGTCTGCTAAAATCTGTTACACATAAATCTGGGTGCGGTTTTCATTCCAGAGACTAGGAGTTTTGCATGTGGGACAAAAGCTTGAAGAACAAGATGAATTTGAGAAGATTTACAAAAATGGTAGGTAATTTAATATAGACAAAGTTGCTCAAATTTTGTAATAAATTTTCTGGATTTAGAACTTTGGTTGTCATCTTAATCATTACCAGCTGTTTTTACCTTTTTTCTACAGCCTGGGCTGACAATGCAAACGCCTGTGCCAAGCAGTATGCGGGAACCGGTGCCTTGAAGACTGACTTTACCAGGCAAGCCATGCTTTTAAAATAGCATTCCACATCAGTAGTTCATAGTCCTGGTGCTTTTAAAAATCACCTGGGCAACTTTCAGACAATAGCAGTAACAGCAGCAAAACTCCAGCATCTGGGCCTCACTTGAGACCTGTGGAATCAGGATTGCTGGGAGATGAGGCTCAGGTGCTGGTGTGTCCTTAGCCACCCTAGGAGATTCTGATGCATGGGGAGGGTTGAGAGCCACCGCTCCACAATGTGTACCTGAAATACCAGTCTCATTCAGCAGGTCTGCAGCAGGGCCTGAGATGTGTACGTTTAAAAAGCACCCAGGTGCTGCTGGTGCTGCTTTCAAAGACCACATTGAGTAATGAGGAATTTTAGAACATTTTGAATGTATTATGCATGCAGTGGCTCTTTTTCTGCTATATGGGTTCCCTGGGAGCAGAATACAATTTCTAGTCTTTGGTTTGCTGTGTCCTACCACTTAACCTGGGCTATGTATTTCTCTTCATGTTTCTTGTCTTGGCAACTGGAATTAGTGTGTTTCTTTGTGCCTCCTTGGGCAATATTTTAGAAAGAAAATAGATATTTCTTGGACCTACAAGTGATTTCTTTTGTAAAATCTGTCACTCACTTATTTCTATACCTTATGCTCATTGGCCATAAAACCATGTGAGAATTCAGGGTACAAACCTGTAACTTAAAACTTAACCTCTTTAACCAGAACTGGGAAGAGAACTCATTTGGGACTTATAATGGATGGCTGGAACTCAATGATACGATATTATAAGAACAACTTCTCTGATGGATTTAGACAAGTAAGTTTGTATTTGATGTTTTTCTGGCATTAGGTGGTTGTATCTTTGCATTATTCATCAGTAATGTCATCACACTGAGTTTAGAGAGTTACTAATTTCTTTCTTTCTTTTCTAGGATTCCATAGACTTATTTCTTGGAAACTATTCAGTGGATGAATTAGAATCTCATAGTCCTTTAAGTGTTCCAAGGGATTGGAAATTCCTGGCTGTAAGAAACCATTTTGTATTTTTCAAGTTGTTAAAAGCATTGTGTCTGAAGGTGTAGATGGTTTCAGTCTCCTTAATTTAAAAATGTTATATGTTGTTTTGTATCTCATTGCATGAAATATAAATACTTAAGTTTCCCCAAAGAAGAGGTCAGGCTAAGGAGTACAGTAACTCTGGAGCATTTGTCTTCTTTTCCTTAGACTGTCTCACACATCCTTTTCATGTGAAGTCACATAAGCAAAGGGAATGTGGAAGGTTTCTCATTTCTCATTTCAGAAAACTTCAGTTATCTTACATTGAGGGAGTTGCCAGAGACAAACTTATTCCTTGGAAGGCAAAGTTTATTTTTGATGCTTCTCTCCTTTTTGACTCCTCTGTTCATCAGACTCTTCAAGAGCCTCTCTGGATTTTCTTTCCAGTGGGCCCAGTGCCCTGGAATGGAAGGGAGGCCTAGTGTTCTGGGTCCTCATCTGGGCCTCCTCCTTCCATTTAGCTCTTTGGTTGGAACAAAAGCGTACTTCTTCCGATCTTTTAAAATAGCATTCCACATCAGTAGTTCACAGTCCTGGTGCTTTTAAAACTCTTTCCTCATCTAAAGACTAGGGCAGTTGTGATTGAACCCATAAATAATGTTTTGTTGCAAAAAGATAACTGTATATATTAGCTGACAGATGAGTTTTATTCCTTTCCCAAGCAGTGCATGCACAACTGATTTTGCAGCCACTAGATTAGCAGTCTTAAATAATGATCTCTTTCTATTGTCTTTTCCAGTTGCCTATTATCATGGTCGTTGCCTTTTCAATGTGCATTATCTGTTTGCTTATGGCTGGTAAGTCTGCCCTTATTTCACATTCTTCCATTTATTTCTTAGAATGTTTACCTTTCTTTTACAACATCTTAAGTTTTTGAGTTAACTGAACACTTGATGTTTTCCTATTAAATTTAATGAATAAAGTGGAGTAGGTGAAATTAGTCCTTAGATGTGACAGGAAGAAAAATAACATACCTAGTAGTTTGATGATTGTTGTTTTTTTTAAACTCAGATTTTAAAAACATGTTTTTCTTATTACTATAAACCAAAAAGTGTCTCGAGATAGGTCTCAGTCAGTTTAGAGGCTTATTTTGCCAAGGTTGAGGACCTGCCTAGGAGAAAGAGATGCAAGCTATAGGAGGATTCGTATCCTGTGCTTTTTCCAAAGAGGATTTTGAGGACTTCAGTATTAAACAGGGAAAGAATGTACAGGAGGGGAAAGAGGAATGGAAACAAAAGTGGGGGGTAGGTAGTGAGATAAGGGGTCACATTCTTGTGAGGCTTTGATTAGCGCTCACTGAATCCATGTTACATGTGAAAGGAGAGGGTAGAGGAACAGTCAGTTACACATTCATTTCCTGCTCAGTAAATCTGCAGTTTCCATAAGACAAAGTAAATGTAGAGAGTAGAGGAAGAAGTCAGATCTGCATTTGTTTTGGGGTGGACAGAGGGATGATTTTCTAGTCTCGTCTTTGTCCCATACCTATGAAAAGAAACTTAATTTACATTGTTGGGGTGAGGGAGATTCCACAGGACTGTCTTTTGGGGTAAAGATTTTGGGGCCCACAGGGAATTTGCTTGTGACAGTTTGCAAGGGTGGCCATCTGGGAGCCACTGTCTTTGCAGCTGTCTACTTAGGAACAAAAGGAGAGTAGGAGCGTAGTTTTGTGATGTTCAGTTTCCAAGTTTAACTTTTCCTTTGATGTAGTAAATTTGGAGTCCTGAGATTGTATTTGCCTTTCACATGACCAAAGTAGTACATAGTAATTATAGAAAACCCAGGCAAGAAAGGAGAAAGTATTATTTATCATCATACTTTCAGAGAGAAGCTAACCACTCTTAACAGTTTGATGTTTTAATCTTTATAAGTGTGATTTTTTTTTTTCAAAGGTGAGATAATGTATTTTCATTGTCTGCTTTTTTTTACTGAGCGGTGTGCTTTCCCGTATTCTTAATTGTTAATGGCTATAAAGTAGTCCATATATGGATGTGTGGCTTATTTAACCAACTCAGATAGATGTTAATGGATTAAGATTTTACTTACTAAATTTTGATAGATGGAGCGTAAAATTGCCTGAGAACCTGAGTTGACAAGGTCTTTACTGGTTTTCTTTTCTCTTAATATTTTGCTATGTTGCTGAGTAAATACTTAAGATTAAAGTGAGAAGAGTGCATTCTTTATTCTCCTTTGAGTAATGTCCTGTACTTTGGAGGTTTGAGTCTGGGACTTGGTGTATTGTACCTTGGAGGTGCAGTCCTAGGCACTCTGAAAAAAGAGGCACCTTCCAATGTTGATCCTCTATCCTGAATTCATTGAGCCAACCTCTCTGCCTGTCTGAATTGTCCACCATCCTAGAGCACCGTTCATATGCTCCCCTCTTACCGAGGGTCCCTTACTCTCCCACACAGAAGTCTTCACCTTCTATCTGGATTTCCACAGCACTCCTGGACCTCTCTCCCAGCACTTTCCTCTTTTAATCTCATTAATACATAGGGAGTTATTTTTCAGAGGTGGTATACCTCTTTAGTGTACCTGACATACCCAGTGTATATCTTTTTGGATGGTAATGATTTGCATACTTGTTTGTCTTTTTCACTGGATCAGCAACTTTTTTAGGGTAGAGACTGTCTTTATTCATTGTTTTATCTCCTTTGTCCAGGATATAGTAAGCCCTCAGTGAATGTTTGCTGAATTAAGGACTCTAACTATACCACCACCACTAATTCTGTGACCTTTTTGATAGGGAGGCTCAGTTACCTGTTCAGCTCTGTGTTCCCCTCAGTGCTCTGCCCTGTAGACAGTCGTGAGATAGTTTTGACTAAATGCTGGAATGTTGAGTGGGGGAAAGAGCCATCCTATTATTATTCTAATTAGCAACATTTTTCTGTAAAGAGCCAGGTAGTAAATATTTTTGTCTTTATGGATGGTGTGTGGTCTCTGCTGCACATTTCTTTTTTTGTGCGTTTATAACCATTTAAAAATGTAAAAACCATCTTAACTTACAATGTAAAAACAGGTTGAGGTAGCACAGGCATTGCCTGGGACATGACTGCACATTTTGGGACAGGAAGGAAGAGGCAGCATGTGCCGGTTCCTCAGTGGCCAGCCCTGCTTCATTTCCCCTCTAGATCCTCTGGCCTTTTTCCTGAAAACACTGCCCAGCGGATGCCATTTCTGAGGATCCACCTTACTGTTAAATGCGTTCATTTTATTGTTTTGACACATTTACCTAAAGAACCTCTGGAGAGGCAGGAAAGTTAAGACCAAGAGCTCTGCTTGAATAAAACGGATGATTCTTTTAGAGAGTATCCAGCAGAGTGGCTACCAAGGAACTGCCTTTCTTGTTTTGTCCAAGAAGAATTTTAAAACTCAGAGCCATGAAAATTGGCAATTATGCAAATTCGAGTGTATTTTTAAGTAAAAAGAGATTGGATGCTATAGATGGTAACATCTCATGTCAGTTAATTGTAATAAAATAATGAGCTTTGTGATGTTTGGGTGTGGTAATATCTGATTTCTAGCTCCTGCTGTGGTTTTTATAGAGAATAGAAAACAAATGTAGCATGATCTCTGACGGCTTGTTAGGAAGGAGTCTGGGTGCTGGTTTCTTCCCTGGTGTGCTCTCTTACTGGCTGTTATCCCTTATATGTGTTTCTCCCCCTGCAGATGAGGCCAGACTGTTGCAGAGAGAGGAGCTATTCTTTAGGTTCAGCTATTCAAAGAGTTAAACAAAGTAGATCTTTGCCCACTGGCCTGCTGCCAACCTTTATGAACTTCAGACTTTGAAAACTGCACATGCAGAGTTGGGCTAAATATGTCATTAAGATATGATACTGGCTGGGTGCTATGGTGTGTGCCTATAGTCCCAGCTACTCAGGAGGCTGAAGCAGGAGAATTACTTGAGCCCAGAAGTTCTGGACTGTAGTGTGCCATGCTGATCGACCGCACTAAGTTCAGCATCAATATGGTGACCTCTTTGAGCAAGAGATCACCAGGTTGCCTAAGGATGGTGAACCAGTACAGGTTGGAAACAGCAGGACAGAACTTTCATGCTGATCAGTAGTGGAATCATGCCTGTGAATAGCCACTGCACTTTAAGCTGGGCAACATAGCAAGACCTTGTCTCTAAAGAAAATGTTACTGACTTTTGTTTTATGTATTTGTATATATACAAAAAATACCCTACAAAATATACATAACTTCACAAAAGTTATGTATAACTTATGTTTTGTATTCATAACTTATGAATACTCTGGTTTTTTGTGTGCAGGTATTTTGATAATAGCTTGTATCTGTTACAGAACTATGAATTGAACAATTAATAGTTTTTTGTATTATTAAAATATACTAAAAGT